CCCCTTTCTGGAAGCTCCCTTGACGCGACCAGGGGCCCGAAATCCTGGCAGCCGGAGGCCCGTTACGGGAAGCGCCTCTTCTCCCGTCTGCCACGCCCCCCGGAGGAGCGTCACCGCCCTGCCTGCCAATGGCGGCCCGAGCGAGGTGTTGGCGTTCGGGGGAGGTGGGGGGAGCCGTCAGTCAGACTGTGCGGAGCGGCGCCTGAGGCGAGGTGGTCGTTGTGGTTCGTGAGCCCCGATGGTCGGGGGCCCTGCGGCCGCCTCAGGGCTAGCGAGGAACGTGGCGGCGAGCTGGGAGGTGAGTGGCTGAGGGAGGGGCGCCGCCTTGTTGCCGGCCCTGGCGGAGTCGTCGCGGCACCTTCGTCGGGGAAAAGGGCCTGCTGGGCCTGGCGACCGGGCGAACTTGGCCCTTGCTGCGGGAAGGGACGCTCACCCTCGGGGGCCGGGCTCTTGTGGGTCGTGGGCTGCGCGGGAGCGGGTCGGGCGCTGTGAGCCGGTCCCGACTTCAGGTCGAGCATCTCCACTAACTCGCCTTTGCTGCCCTTTCACGCGCTTTAGGACCCGTCGGGGCTAATGCTCCGTCTAAGCCGTGGAGTCTTGTGAGCAAAAATTCTACTCTGTGAGCCACTGGCATTAAAGTGGTGAGCGAGCGATTTGGCCTCTGCATTAATTAGTTTGCTCTGGAGCCCTCCTTCCTGAGCGGAGACAAAAATGTGTGAGCCGGAGGCTAAAAAACTTTGAGGTAGCTCACACTAATTCAGTTTAGAGGGAACACTGGTCCGGAGGACGCCTGATCGTTCAAGAAACGTGACTCTGGGCAAGGCAGGAGGAGTTCTGCGCTGTAAGGTGCCACCAGGCTCCTATTCTGCTCTTGTGTCAGGGCTGTATCACTTCAGAGCAGAACCATCATATTGCTGTATGGAGAAAGGTAGGATAAAATGTTTACATAAATTACACAGGGAGATAATGCTCCCTCTAAGCTGTGGAGTCTTGTGAACAAAAATTATACTTTGTGAGCTACTGGCATTAAAGTTATGAGCGAGCGATTTGGCTACTACATAAATTAGCTTGCTCTGGAGCCATCCTTCCTGAGTGGAGACAAAAATGTGTGAGCCGGAGGCTAAAAAACTTTGAGGTAGCTCACACTAATTCAGTTTAGAGGGAACACTGGTCCGGAGGACGCCTGATCGTTCAAGAAACGTGACTCTGGGCAAGGCAGGAGGAGTTCTGCGCGGGTACTTTATACCCGCCCGGAGTCTCGTTTGAACGGAACGACACGCGTGGCTGCTGTGCACACTTAGTAGCCCGGTTCCAACCAGACGCCCGGCGAAGGCGAAGTCCCACGGGTAAATTCTGATCCCTCAGCCAGCGACACGTGTACATCGGGTCGCAGAGGAAGAGGTTTCCCTGTTCTCTTCCTGCCTGTTAGGTGAGAAATTGAGGGCTACCATATGCCCAAGCCGGCAAAGATCAACTCAAGGAGATGGTGGTTTTTCTGGATTAAATAATAGGTCATACCGAGAGGGTGAGTGGAGTAATGTGGTAATGCGGTGAGCTGGGCTCGATCTGCCTTCTGGTGTTTCCTTTGCTGTCCTTTGGAGGGAGCAGGATAAGGACTTTGCCTGTTGTTGGATTGTTGAACGGTCTTTCTGTGATCTCTCCAGTCTCAGGACTGCTTACTCCTGATCTCTTATTTTACTCCACTTCTCCCTTACAAAACAATGGTGAGTCTGTCTCCTCCACATCTGAGTTCACAGGGGATAAACCTGTTGGATGCTCAGATAAATTCTGGCCCCGGTCACACGGCAAAGTTGCCGCGGGAGAGGCACGGGAGTCCCGCGGATTTTCTGGGCGCGATCACACCCCAACATCTGGGGAGCACTCCAAACCCGTGGCTCCCCGTAGAAGGTGCGGATTTAAAAACTAGTACTTACGAAGTACTAGTTTCCGAAAACCACGGGCCAAGGGCGGGCGTGTGATCACGTTTCCGGTGGA